GAAAACCATGGTAGCGTCTAGCCAATGTTCCTGTAGGCTGTTCCAGATATGGATCCAGACGTCGCGAGAACCATTGCAGGTGAGGCAGGCACTAGGGAACCCTTCGGCCCAGTTCCGATTGGGAAGAAGCCCCTGGAAGTGGACAGGGCTGGGCGGCAGCTGTTCGTCGGACTACTACCCGTTCACTCTCTGAATGTCTAGGCTACAGAATTGACAGGAGGGGCTTCTGTGAAATGGAGGGTGTTTTTCTAAGATCCGAGAAGCCCAGTGAGAGCTAGTGTATGCCACTTGATCCTAGGTGTGACTGCTTGGAAGCAAGTTTTTGTTTTTAACAATACATTTATACCCCACCTTTCTTTCTTGAGAAGAGAAAAAAAGGAAGGAGACCATGCAATCCCGTGCAGCTCACAAGCTCCTCTCCTCACCCTTTTATCCTTTCAAGAACCCTGTGAGGTCGGTTAGGCTGAGAGCCAGTGACTGGCTCAAGTCCCCCACAGAGCTTCATGGTCCGAAAGGGGACTAGAGTCCACGTCTTCCAAGTTCTAATCTAATCACTACCCCACACTACTCTCTTGCCCTTTGGTCAGTGGGACTTGCTCTCAAAAAAGTGCACCTCACTTTAGGCCAGAGGCACTCCACCTCCCCAACAGCGAGGGGATTCGACCCTACTGGTACCTCCGTGTCAGAGTATGAGGGGAACAATAATCGCCAGTTCAAGGATGTACAAGGCGCCTTTCACCGTGGGTTACGTCAAGAAACTCCACAAATGTTGGGCCAGCTAATCCAGAAGCAAGCGGAGGCTTTCCTGTCGGATCAAGGCGTGATGGGACATTGGTGCGGGCAGGGGGCAGCGCGGGGTATCCATCTAGACGCCTCAAAGAAAGCTCCGCAATCTTTTCGCCGACCCGAGGGTCGTGGGCGACTCGTTTGCAGACGTGCCGCCTTCAGAGCTGCGTTCCTGAGACCAAAGCCCGCCGCCGCCGCCGCCGCCGCCGCCGCCGCCGCCGCCGCCGCCGCCGCCTTCCTCGCCTGGGGCGACGTTGGCCTTTCCTTCGCTTGAGGAACGCAAAGCCAAGCCAGAGCTGCGCCAAGGTTGGAAATGACCCAGCAGCTCGAGGGAGGAAGCCGCCGCCGCCGCCGCCGCACTGGGAAGCCGAAGCAGGAACGCCGCCCAGCACCGCAGTGTCCACAGTCTGGAGGCAGCGGGGTGTGTGTGTGTGTGTGTGTGTGTGTGTGTACGTGCGTAAATTAGTGGATCATTAAACGAGGGGAACAAAGAGCAGGCCTGCGACTCCGCGGCTCGCCCAGCAGTTCGCGGACGGGCTAACTTAGTTAACACTTCCTCCGCGCTCCCCCTCGCGACACCCCGTCCTCGGCGGTGCATCTGATTACCTCACCGTCATTACATTGACATGCTGGTAGCAGCGCCGCGGCACTGGCAGACCTTGTTCTGTCAGAGCGGGATCTCGAAGGGCGATATGCAGATTCTCAAGTCTGACACGCTGCCTCTCCTCTCCTCTCCCGCCTCGCCTCGCCTCGCCTCGCCTCTCTCTCCACCTGCCCGCAAGTCGATCGATCAAACAAATTATATTCAATAAGAGCTGGCAGGAGGCAGGGAGCGGAACCTGGCAGAGCCGCCGCCGGCGGAACGTTTCGGAGAGCCTGCCAGGCGAGCGAAGAACCGCGGAACGGGGCTTCGGCGCAGGCCGGCCTGCCTGCCTGCCTGCTGCGAGAGGGTTTCGGCCCCGAGGCCAGCGGAGGCGCCGGGCGCGGCCCGCGGGACGCGGCTCGAAGGGGAGCTCCGAGCTCTGAGGAGCAGGCGGCTGGGCTGGGGGTCGTGTGGCCCGCTGGACTACAATCCCCATCACCCCGATCACTGGCTGGACTGCCTGGGGCTGACTGGGAGCTGCAGTCGTCCCCGGCCCCTTTCTTACAGCGTTACTCTATGTAAGGTTCACTCAGAAGCAAGCTCCACTAAGTTCAGTGGGACTCCCTTCGAGAGAAGTGTGGCTAAGACAACTAGAGGCACTGAGGCGGGGTGAAGGACTTCCGGGCATCCAGATGTCTCTGGCCTACCACTCCCATCGCCCCGACTACTGGCTATGTGAGCTGGGGCTGGTGGGAGTTGCAGTCCAACAACACCTAGAAACCCGCGCGGGTCTGAGGCTTCGGGGGTGATGTGACTTCCAGTCACTTCGATGCTCTGAGACTTCCTCTTGGGGAAAATTTGCCCTGGCCCCACTGGTTCTTCGCCGGATCCTGGGGTATTTCTCCGCGACGGCCCGATCTGCAGCTACAATCCGGCGGAGCCCAGGAGCCAGGTCCTGATTGGCTTTGTTAAGGGCTGGCTCAGAGACGCACTCGCTTACTCAGCGCTTGGTGACTGACGGATTATCGAGTGAACTGCCTGCATTCGGGCTGAGCTGCAAGCTCCGTCTGCGGTGGTTGCCCGGAGATGTTCTCCCAAAACCTTGTCGTCGTCAAGGAATGGCCGTATCTGTGTGATCCAACCCCAAGTATTTGGATTCGTGTTTGTTAAGACCCTAAGCACACTATTTTCAGTCTGTTCCACGGCGAGGAAGGGGCAGGGCACGGGGAATCCACCGCATGCCCCAGTAAACCAGCCTAGGACCGTGAAAGCAAATGGTCTTAAATCTTCAGTCTTGCACTCAGATTCATTAGGTGGTCGGGAAACCCTCTTCCTGAATCTGAACTGGCCGTCTGTCCAAAGCTCAGCGTTTACCTGCGCGATGCTCCCAGTCCAGAGAGCCCTTTGGCGGGCGTGGGTTCGCGAGGCGCTGCAACGGCAGGCAGACACCCGGTCCGCCGTGTGACCGCCTGCGCTGCGATGCTGCCAATGGAAGGACGCGAACCGGGGCTGGAAGCGGGACCGCAAGGCAAGGCAGAAGAGTCTTGGGCTCGGCTCGGCTCACTCCCGCGGGGCGCCCTTCTTTTCGGGCTCCTTCTTGCCGAAAGGCGGAGCGACAGGCGCCTCGCCAGGACCTGGGCTGCTGGTAAGCCTCGGGGCTTCCTGATCGCGGGAGCGAAGCCGCGGCCTCCGCTCGCCCCTCCGCTCCCGCTCCCCTCCCTGGGAAGGACCTCGACTGTCCCCCGGGGGGTGGGGGCAGGTGAGCCAGGCAGCTGCGCCTCTGCAGGACCTGCGAGGCATTCCGCGGACTTTTCCGCCGCGCCGCGGCCTCCAGCGCGCAGCTGCGAAGCGGCGCGGAGCCAGCCTTGCCGAGGCGCCGGGCTCCCCTGCGCGAGACACCACTTCGCCGGAGGTGGCCTGGGGTGGCCTCCGCCTTCGCGCCGCGCTGCTTGCCCGGGGGACGTCGATGCAAGCGTCCTCGGCCGCGAGGGTCTCCTTAGCCTCACTGAAAACACGGATTGCATGCCGCTGACAGACGCTGAAGGATCGCGGACGCGGGAGGGAGCTGTGTGTCCCCGCCGGCTCCCCCCAAGAAAACGTGGCCGCCCTTCTCCGCTGAAGACGCGTCCACGCCCGAAGAGTAACTGCGCAGATTCCAAGCCACCGAAGATCGCGCTCCGATGCGCCTTGCGGCACAAAAGGGCGTGCGACCCTCAGCCTCCCCTCGCCATCCCGTGTGGCAGCTGGAGAACGCGGGGTCATTTTTTCTTGCCTGAACTTGCATAGGACTGCGTCTTTAGCATGCAGTCCTACATACGCCTACACAGAAACGAGAGTATCTCCATGAAGCTTCCTCCCAGATACCTGAGGTCAGGACTGCAGATATGGAGCAGAGTCAACGCAGTCAATGCTCAGAAAGCCTCCTCCGCTATTGTGCAGTGAAGAAACAAACAAACAAACAAACACACAAGTCTCTCCAAAAGTAGGTGGTTGGGAAAAACGCCTTCTAAGTAGAATCCAGCTCTTTCCATGTGAGTTGCCTGGCTCTTGCCGAGATAGTCTAAGCGGTGGCTATTCCCATGATGTGGGAGAGTGTACAGGCCTCCATGCCAGGTTTCGGCTCCCTTTGCACAGCCATTTGTCTTCCTCCATTGATGACCCAGATGCCATCCTGACTCCACTCAGGATTCTGCTGACTGTTTACACTGGGGTGGACAACCAAACACTTTTCAGGTGTTTGTTTAAAACTCCCATTGATCATGCTGACTGGGGCTGATGAGGGTTGTAGTCTCGAACATGTGGAGAGCACTAGGTTTCCTCTCCCTGATTTAGATTCCAAAGGCATATTGCATTGTCTGGGAACCTATGGATTCTCAATCTCTCTACAGGAAGAATGTGAAGGGGGGGGGGCGAGATATTCTTGCAGCCTGAGTGTTAATGAAACAGTTAAATATTAACCTTATTTTACTGAGCTGGGCTTTGCTTAACATCTTACTTGCAGATTAGGCCCAGCTCCTCAAGGCAGTTACAGAAATGCATGTGCATGTGCATATCTCACCCACATTAATGTGACTTAAGATGCACATGTACAATGATGGGGCCCTAATCAATATGCCTTCATTACAGCAGCTGCTTTTTCTACAAAATACTGTTTGCTCCGATTTGTTTTGTGCAGATTTTCTCTGGGAAAAGATCAAAGACAGCAAAGTGAATGCCAAAAGCCTTTACATCTCAAACATGTTAATATCCCTTAATGTAGATCTCTTACCTTTTAACCACATCAGAAATGGTTTAAGAGTCCTTGAATGGTTGATTTCCTGCACGCATTTGTGCTTTGCTTATGGATGACTTGGAAATTCTGATATAGCCTTGGTCATGTTGAATGTCTGTAGATACCCCAATCTATTAATCCCAAATAAAATGCTATGATCTCCTGGCTTGTCCTTACTTGAACTAGGAATTCCCCTCATGCCAATTACAGTCAGTATGGGTTTCTCTGACTGGGACTCCATATGGTATGAATAATATTGCCTCCTCCTTCACATTCAGCCTAGTGCTTGAAAGGATGCACTGGAAATCAACAGGCAAAGCGTAGAAGTATGTATAGAAAGATCCATATGTCCCAACAGGCTGTATTTAAAATGCTCTTGTTTGCTGGAGAGAAGAAATACAGAATATGATCGATATACTGTGGTTGAGTGTTTAGCATTGATGCCAGTCTCTGAAAGTCTAATGGGAGGGCCCAGAGCTTCATATCCTTTGCCTCGGGGAGTCAGGAGGAAATTGTGGTGCTGGTGATGATGGATTTGGTCAGATCTTTCTGGAAACAAATGGGCGAGTGCTCATCTGTCTTCTCTTCCTGGGTAACCACCGAAAAGCCAGAGAGCCAATGTGCAGGTAGCAGAGAAACATGCTTGGAAAGGCTCATGACATCTTCTTCCGAGGGATTTCAGCTAATGCACCACCAGGACCTGCAAGGAGGCAATCTCCAGGGTAGCGCCTAGGATGCATGGCCTTGTTGTTAACACATGTTTCAATTTGGGCTGAAGACTGTCAATTACCCGCTGAGCTGCAAGTCAGCCCTCGGGCGGACGTGAAAGAGAACTGTGTACTTATTAACCTCCCAAGCCCGGCAGAGCCACTTCCTCTAACCGCCCCCCTTCTTTCTCGCACGTACAAACACACCTTTCCCCGCAGCCTTGTTGCAAACCCCGTTGGTCTTCCCTCTCTCTCTTCCTCCCAGGTGGCTGTTCCTCGTCTCCTCTAGGCCTGCGCTGCCGCAAGGCTGTCCCTGGTCGACCACAGCGGAGGAGGGTCCATCTGTCATGTCACAGGGCCTTGATTCATTTAACAGCTGGAAGAAAAGGGGTGTTTATTCTTTGGGAAGCAGGCTTGAGTGTGTTGGCAAGAAAAGCTTCGCTTCAATGCCAGTTAGTCCTGAAAAGCTAAAGCAAAGGGGAGGGAGAAACATAATTTTGTTTTATCGTGTCATTAAAAACAACAACACACATTGAAATAATTTCATGGAGCCCCTCCCCATGAAGAAAGCACGCCTGCCTTGCTTAGAAATCAACTTGATATCCGTGGGCACACTTCCAACTCTGTTCCGAATGTGGAACGAGTTTGAGGAGCTTGTGGATTGAGCTGAATGGGGCACTTGCCGCTCGATGTTGCACATGTCTCCTCTCCGGCAGGTTCTACCGGATTCACTGGGATTCAGCACTCCCACGACAGTATGCATAGGACTGTGTCTGTAGTTTTGGGTCTTGTGGATCGTTACTATGGAGACTTATACTTGAAATCACTGGTCTTTCCTGGGAGCCTCGCCTTTTTCATTCTGGCCTCCAGCACCGGAGAGGACATTTTCCAAAGGATGATAAACTCCCAGGGCTCCGAGTTGCAGGCAATTAAAAACTATACTGTTTGTTGAACTGCAAACATTCAGGCTTTAAACACAGAAAAGCGATTGTCCGGCAGTGTCTCGATGCCTGCAAGAAACTGGCAAGCACACACGCCATTTCAAAGTGTAATTGAATTGTAATCTCAAAAGCCCAAAACAGCCCCAGAATGAATCAAGGAAATGCCTTCCTAATTAAACTCCTTTCTTTGGAAATGTAGCTGTAAGACTTCAAAAGAAAGAGTTCGTGGAAAGTTGCAATCGGCGCAAATTCACCCGGAACTAAATTCCATGTATTTCAGTGGGACTGAACATCCCTAACACTACCCATACGCAGCTTTTAAATCAGGAACTTACTTCGCCTCAAATGTGTGGACAGGGCTCATGGTGACATGTTTCCGGGATTCTAAATACTCCATTTAGAAATAAAAACTTTTTTAAAAAATAAGCGAGTTGCAGTGGGGTGTGGGGTGTGGGGGCGGGCGGGGGGAGCCCGGAACAGCCGCAAGCGCGAGAGAGCTGCATCTCCTCCGGACGGAGCGTGGTCCCCTTTGGAGCACAGGTTGGAGACTGCGCTTTCGCGTTTTAGTGGTCCGATTTCTCCTCGTCTCTTTTGCAGAACGAACTCTGCTGAAATGCCCTCCCTGTTTGCTGTTTGGCTCACAGCCGGTGCTCCCAGTGTCCCCGCACCCCTCGCCTTTATGGACGGCTTCCAAGGTTTAAACGCTGCGCTACGAGTCGCCTGTTCCTTGACCCATTCAAGGGGCCCTCCCTCGTTCGCGGAGGGGCCGGCTCGAGCCGGTCTCCTCCGCGACGGCCGCGCTTGCCGCCGGCTCCTTCGCTTCGGCCTCTTTTCTCTGCGCTCTCGAGAGCGAGCGCGGTCCCCTCCGCGCCTCTGCCTCGCCTCGCCTCTCCTCGCCCGCCCGCCCGCCTCGCCCCCCTTCGACCGACCACCCCGAGCCTCTCTGACGATAAACGCGACGTAGGCGGCGGCCTATAAATAATTTCCATTATGTTCAGCTGACAGCGTGAGGCGATTAATTTTAATAGCTGTATATTTGCCTGGCTCTCCTAATGCCCTGTAATGACATGAGAAGCCACCCAACCCCAGATGGCTCGCTCTTTCCATCCAGCCCTTGTGCAAGGAAGGAAGGAAGGAAGGAAGGGAGGAAGGGAGCAGAACCTGGCGAAGGCAGGAGCGTGCGAGCGGACGGGGCGCAGACACGCTCCTCTCATCTCGCCCCCCCCCCCCCCCCGCTTCCTCTGTTCTCCTGTTGAATCCAGTCAGATCTCGTCGTGGGCACCGATCCTCCAACTTTACTGCGACCAGCTGGCCTCCTGCTCGTCCGGCCTTGGGATGGCACCTCCAGCCAGCCAGCCAGCCAGCCAGCCCCACTTCCCTCCGCCCGCCCCCACCCCCATGCGCTTGTGTGTGGCTGGGCCACCTTTTCTCCTCCCCGCAACCCCGTCTAGAAGGGGACGGGAGCGCTCTGCTCACGGCACGGCACGGCACGGCACGGCACGCTTGCGCTGCGCGGCCCGCGGGCCGGGCAGAGGCGGAGCGCTCCTTCGAGAAGCGGGCTCCTCTCCCTCGGCTGCCCGGGTGTGAAAGGGGAGCCACGGCGCGCGCGCGCGGGGCCGGCGCCGGCAGTGCGAGCGTATCTCTGCTCGGAGGCGGTGTGACTGACGACTCGGGCACGATCGGGCGCAGGGCGATAAAAGCGCTCCGATCGCTGTCGCTAGGGGCAGGAAGAGATCACGGATCAAAGCCCGGCCTATTAACCTAAATATCCGTAGCTCTGGGTCGAGGGAAGAGCCTTCGCCTTCCGCCTCTCCCCACCCCCTTCCTCCTCGAGTGAGTGAGTGAGAGAGTGAGTGTGTGTGTGTGTGCGCGCGCGCGTGATGAGGGGGAGAGTTGTGGAGGAGGAGGAGGAGGCGCCTGCACGGGAGCCGCCAGTGGTGCGTGCGTGCGTGCGAGTGTGCGTGTGTGTGTGTGCGCGAGAGCGAGAGCGAGAGAGCGCGCGCGCTTCGGTGCGGGAGGTCAGAAGAAATGCGCCGCGGCGTCTTTTCAAGAGCAGCCCGAGCGAGCGAGCGAGCGAGCGAGCGAGCTTCCCCGATCTAGACTGACAAAAGCCGAGCCGGAGCGGGATGGTCGCGTCTTGCCTCTTCGGCGCGGCGCGGCGCGGCGCGGCGGGAAGGAGAGCGGTGGGGGAGGGGCGGCGGGAAGCAGCCGAGGTCGCGGGAGCGAGCAGGCGCGTCGTGGGAACGTGCACGCGGGTCCGGCCGTCGCGCGCCCCCTTCCGCTAGAGCCGGGCGCGTCCTGGCCTCGGGGCCGGGAGGAGCACCGGGCCGCGGACGCGGGACATCCAGTCCCGAGCCGGGCCGCGGCTCCCCCAGCCTCGGCCAGGTGGGACCGTCGCTCGAAGCGGCGAGCGGCGAGCACCTGTGTCTCCCCACCCCGCGTGAGCCTCTGTGCGTGCGCGCGTTAAATAAATAAAATCCACCTATCGCAAGACCTGCACAATGCTAATTAGCACAGGTAATTGCGTTTCTTTTTTGAAGGTCATGCGAAGTGGCAGGCTGCGCTGGCGAGCGCGAGGGAGCGCGGACGCGTTTTCAAATTCCCTTTCATCCTGGCAGAGGACGTGTGCGGGCGCTTTCTCCCACCCACCCCCGCTCTCGCTCGGTTTTAAATGTAAATAGGCGGCGGCGGGAGTGGAGGGGATCTCCGAATAAGCCTATTATCGACGCGGAAGAGTGACACCCCCCCCCCCCCCACACACACACACAGACACACAAGTCGACGATCTCCAAACGTTGGGATGCGGAGAAAACAACGGCAACAAATTTCAGCACCGCCGCCGTTCCGTAGCTTCATTCTCGAAACGGGCAGGACGAGGAGATACGAACCACTGAGGGGAGGGGGGGGGAGGGAGGGAGAGAAGGGGGTGCTCTTAATCCGAAGGGGGGAAACAAATGCACATCTTCCGCCACATGCGTCCTGAAGGCTGGCAAAGCCTGAAGTGCTGGGTGGGTTTCTGAGGCCGACCTCTGCTGCTTCCCGCCGTGTTTCGAAAGGAAAGCAGGCGAGGAGAGCGATGAAAGGGCTACATCAGACAGCAATTACACGCAGGCACGCACGCACACGCGCGGTCGCCAAGGCTCGCGTCCGAAGGCGCTGCGGTTGCTTGTACCGAAGGCGACCCACGGGGAGCAGCTTTGCACTGGTCCACAGAGGGAGGGAGGGAGGGAGGGAGGGGAACCCGGAGGAAGCTCGGGCGAATTGGGCTTTCCTGAGAATGCGCGAAAGTGGACCTTGTAGGCCGCCACTGCCACCACCCTGGCAATGTCTGGAAACGGAATTCCTCGTGTCCTGTGGCCAGAAGGCAATTCGTACATTTCATAAGTAAGTTTAAAAAGAAATAGATGGAGCTGGAAGTGCTACAGAAGCAGGAGCAAGCAAGACTTGTCAAGTTGCCCTCTCCGTGGGACTCTCAATGCCACTCTGCAGTGCCTCAGTTACACTTACATATCTAGCATGCCCAAAACCTACTGAACTGGCGCTCCCCACACTACTGTCTTGGTTGCTTCATTTACCCCACATGTGTGCAGTAGTCCTGAAAAAGAAGAAAGGAAAGTCCTCCTGAAGAAAAGCTTGGTCCCAGAGGTGCTGTTGGTCGTTTGGGTACAATGCACCTTACATATCTCTGGCTAGCCTGTACAGGTACAGGATATTCCATGGCTGCTCATTTGCCACCGCATCATCGAAGTGGTATCAGGAGGGTGGTGAGAGGCTGAGCAGAGCCATGCGTGGGATTTCAGTGGGATTTCAGTGGGGCTCTTCCAGCCGAGCGATGGGATCAGTCAGACCTCCCCTACCTGTAGCACCTCTTCCGTGACATGAGTCTTTGTGAGCCAGCCTGCCCCTGCGACTTTGAAACACGGTACCCTATTAAAGGGGAAGTGGAAACTAGGCCGCAGGCCTTTGAAGCCTCCACATAGAATAACAGTTGACATGTCACTCTATTTCTCCCTGAGCAAGTTTGGACAAGACTGATCTAGCCACCTGTCCACACCTAGTTAGAAAACGGAGAGGAAGAAGCAAAACTATATTTAACCAGCTAAACTTTTCATCCAAAATACGCTTGTGCCAACAGATTCCCTTTCCAAGCTAAAAGACTTTAATTGGTATAAGAAATGAATGTGAAATAATGAGTGTGACATAATGGAACACAATATGTGATCAATAACACCTGCTCTTCTGAAGACTGTCTCTCTTTCTCTGAACATCATTTAAATCTGAGATCAGTACAAAACACCACTAAAGGGCTGCATGGAGTTGCTTTTCATTTTTGTTGGCTCACTACAGAGATATAATAATGAAGAATCTTGTGGCACCTTAAAAACTAACATGTTTATGTTTTCATATGTGTTTGGTCTGGGAAAAGATGGGCCTTGCCACCATACACTTCTTCACTTGTATATAGTCAGTGCTATATAAACAAAAATCCTGCATCAGCTGAAGGGACTGATG